AAAAAAAGCAGCTAAACCAGTACATATTAAGAAATAGCAATCACAATCGACACTCCCATTACCCAACACCGTGGTTTAACTTATCTTCTATCCGCTCAGTACAAAACAGATCTGTGGCAGAGACAAGTCAGAGCCCCGGTGTATTTCAAAGAGAACCCATGGTTACCTGGGCTAGAGATCTGGTCGCGGTATTTCGGAACCTCGTCGTTCAGGGTCTGAAGCATGGCCCACATTGTGAGTGTGAAGAGCCCAGCCAGGAACCCATAAAAAACTAGGTAGAAGAGCAAGATCAAACCTGCAAAGAAAGGAAGGCAATGAGACTCAGCACCCACAGTGCAGGCATTTGGCCTGGGGAGGTAGTGAGCCCAAGCTTAGCCATGCACCAAGGTGCCCGGGCAATCCAGCCGGCAGCTCCCCGCCTCCCCCACTTCCAAGTTACAGTCAGCTTCTGCCACTCCTGCTGGAAAATGCCAGTCCATGTGTAGAGGAGTGTCCCCCCAGAAGGTCATCACGCCCTCTAAGAAAAGATGGTGGGGCGGGGTCAACCTCTCCCCATGTAGTCACATGTTGCCTTAAGTGGCAAGTAGAAAAAAATTACATAAAGCCTGTGTATCAGCCAGCAATTACTGCAAATGCTTTAAAAAGTGAGGTGACTTAGAAGACCGCCAACCAGACATGCAGTGAAGGCAAGTGGGGAAGGGCACCCGGTGAGGGGAGCAGGGGGGGGAGGGGAGTGGGGGGGGGGCGGGGGAGGGAAGGGAGTGGGGGAGTGTAGAAGACACTGGCCAAGCGAAGGGCCATGCACAAGTGCAAGGAGCACAAGCCTGCTAGTGAGCTGGGTGGGGCCGTGCGCTCTGCCGCTGGCCCCAGCAGCGCAGGACGCACTGGCCTCCACACACCCTTAACCCCTTCTCCCGTTACTTGGAAACACAGACCCCCCCACACACACCAACGATCTGGGAGGGAACATGTGAAAATCAGTAATTTGTCTCAAAGTTCTAAAGTCAAAGTGATCAATAGGGAGATTATTTATCAAAATACATGAAGTCATTCATGTTTAAGCGTGGAACAATCCTTAAGGCTGTGCAGCTGTGAAGACATTAACCCAGGGCTGAAGTTACCCCAGCCTTCCTTCCCCGCACTCTTCTGAGTGCCTATCTACCCTTAGCAGAGGACAGACCTGAGGTCCTCAGTGGACCCCAGTACCTCCCAAGGAGTAGCTCAGAAGGCTTCTCAGATTTTCTGAGTTTCTGAATTCATTTATTCATTTCCCCAGAAAGCAGCTACAGAACTTCCTTCATCTTCTCAAACATGACCCCAGAACAGATAGTGACAACAGTGAGACAAATTGTTTCTCCACTGCAGCCCAGGAAGCCACTCCCCTCCCCATTTTTCCACACAAAGGGGAAATAATTTAAGCAATTTTGCTTTACACTAGCATACCACCCTTCCCCAATTACCAGGAAGCCAAGAGAGGGAGGAGAGGAGAGAGGAGAGAGGAGAGGGTGTCAGCTCCGGGCCACTGCCCTCCCGCAGTGCCTACTGCGGTCCTGCTGCAGAAAAAGAGAAGGAAGACCAGGCTCAAAGCAGTGATCTGTTTGCCACGCACAGAAGACAGGCCCAGGTGAGATGGTAAGAAGCCACAGAGACACAGGTGGCCCACGCTGCTGCACAGGAGACATGAAACCAAGTGTGAAGGAGACTGCTGAGTAGTATTTTGCACTGTTATTTAAAGCATCACAAAGTATTTTTTTTTGGTCGGTCGTGGGGCTGAACTCTGGGCCTGGGCGCTGTCCCTCAGCTCTTCAGCTCAAGGCGGGCGCTCTACCACTTGACCACAGCGCCACTTCCGGCTTTTTCTGCTTATGTGGTACTGAGAAATTGAACCCAGGGCTTCATAAGCACTCTACCACTGAGCCACCTTCCCAGCCCCTACAAAATATTCTTATATCACCTTCAATTGTTTTTTTAAGTTCCTAGGAAAAAATATAAGTGAAATTTATAAAACATCAGAAATAAACATTACCAAACTATTATTTTAATTTGCTTCTAAAGAACCATTATACAATGGAGAGAAGGTACTAAAATGTCATATAGTTACAACATATGTACATAAATTAACAGCCATGTTCTAAATCTAGATGTCACATACTAAAGGCCTCCAGAGACAAGACACTAAAGCAAGCTTTCCTTGAAATAATTCCTTTGCCAAATAAAACCAATCTTTTATATCATATATGATGAAAGACTTTTCACAATAATTTACAAAAACAAAAACACACATAGGCCAATGCAAGGCACCGCAGCTGCTCTTGTCTTGGGGTAAGAAAACATTTTAAAAACCAATGCCAGCCCGGGCGCCGGTGGCTCCCGCCTGTCATCCCAGCTACTCAGGAGGCTGAGGTCTGAGGATCACGGTTCAAAGCCATCCCAGGCAGGAAAGTCCATGAGACTCTTATCTCCAATAAACCACTAGAAAACCAGAAGGAAGTGGCGCAGTGGCTCAGGTGGTAGAGCGCTCACCTTGAGCTGAAGAGCGCAGGGACAGCGCCCAGGCCCAGAGTTCAAGCCCAATGATTGACAAAAAAAAAAAAAAAAAAAGGAAGGCTGAGGCAGGAGACTGCAAGTTAAGCCCAGCTGGAATACAAAGTGACACTCACGTCATAAAGACAAACACCACCACCAACAAAGCCAATAACAATAAAATAAGCTAACACTGATTTAAATTCCACAGAAATACCAGCATTTCGAAATGCCTTGACTGAGATCAACAGCATCCACCCAAGATGGTCACTCACAGGAAACCCCAGGAAGTGACTTACAGCTACAATCTACAGCCAGGCGGCAACTTAAGAGAGCTCAGCAGGAGGGCACCCAGCAGGAGAGAGTTTAAAGGAATGCAGTCACTCCTTCAGAAAGTACTTAAAATGCCAGAAAACAAGCTAAAGTGTCAAAGACATCAGTGTTTGCCCAGAGCCCAGAATAATGGGAGACACAGATTATAAAGGGACAAGGAAAAATTGGGAGTGTATGTAACACATGTTCTTATCTTGATTACGGTGAGCACAGTGTAGGTATGCTTGTGTACCTGGGTATATGTCAAAACCGTATTTTTTTTGGATATAGGAGCTCATTATATTGTCCAGGCTAGTCTTGAACGCCTAGACTTTTAGGTGATTTTTCCACGTTAGCTTCCTGAGTATTAGGGCTGTATTGCCTGCTACATTGCCTGTATCTGTATCGATACGCACCGCTTAGTATATGTCATTACCACTTTAATAAAGCAGTTGAAAAGCTGAGCAGACAGGTGTCAGTGGCTCACGCCTATAATCCTAGCTACTGAGGAGTAGAATGCTAGTCTTGAACACAGAGAGGCTCAGGGACAATTGTCCAGGCCCTGAGTTCAAGCCCCAGGACTGGCAAAAAGCAAGCAAACACCAAAAATGAAGAGAAACTGCATCAAGTCTATCAGATGATCAAAGAGGTTACCAAATGGAAAGAACAACTAACACCAGATAACTATCAATTTGATTTTGGCTGCTAAGTTAACATTCTGCAATTTGGAATACAAAACAGACATTTCCACACTTGTAAGGAAGAGCTCAGAACACCTACAATGAACATATCCCCAAACCTTTCATGAAGAAATTGATCATGCAATTAACTACAAAGTACAGCAAACAAAATGTAAAACATAATGAAACACTGTAAAGTTAAAAAAGGAAAGATAACAAAGTCTCATACACCTCAAGTAAAACAAAGCAACCGCAGACTGATACACAGCTACACATTTAAATTTAAAATGAGAGGTACAGAATCCTGTAAACATACACATGTCAAGTACTGATGGACCAGAAACTTACTAGGCTGAGCAAGCACACCCTCAGGCTGATGTGTCCTCAAAGAAGACTTGGCAGGGTGCCAGTGGCTCACACCTGTCATCCTAGCTACTCAGGAGGCTGAGATCTGAGGATCAGGGTTCAAAGCCAGCCAGGGCAAGAAAGTCCATGAGACTCTTAACACTAATTAACCACCAGAAAACTGGAAGTGGCACTGTGGCTCAAGTGGTAGAGAGCTGGCCTTGAGCTGAAGAGCTGAGGGACAGCGCCCAGGCTCAGAGTTCAAGCCCCACAACCAACCAATAAAAAGAGGAAATAGGACTGGGAAGATAGCCCAGTGGTAGAGTGCTTGCCTCATATATATGAGGCCCTGGGTTCGATTCCTCAGAACCACATACACAGAAAAGGCCAGAAGTGGCGCTGTGGCTCAAGTGATAGAATGCTAACCTTGAGCTGAAGAGGTCAGGGACAGTGCCCAGGCTCAGAGTTCAAAACCCACAACCCACCGGCTCCCCGCCCCTGCGTCCCCTCCCCCCCTACCCCGGCAAAAAAAAAAAAAGAGGAGGAAACAGATGTGGCAAACTAGGATCCAAGTCACAGGGATCACAGGGCTAAGGTATTTTATACTAAAAAGCAAAAAGCACATGAAGGCCACGTTACAGTCACACACCTTCATGATGCTGTGCAGCTTCAAATTCTACAATTCTGTTCTGTGCTTCACGTAATGTTCATATGCATAGATATGTAACACAATATGATCCTATTTGGTGAATATCTTTAAATGTTCAATCCAGAGACTGAATAAATAAAAAAAAGGACAGCAAATACTTTTCAAACAAAGCTTGCCACATTACTTCCCAGATATTCTGTAGTTAACAGAATGTACACTCTTTCCAAACTTGGAGCACAGCCTACAAACTGACCATGACTTCAATGACAAAGTATGGGCCTGGGCACAGCACAGGGACAGAAGCCAGGCCCTGTCACCGGCAAGGCCCGGTGCTAACCACGGGCCTCAGATACAAGACTGTATACTACACAAGGTGCATGATGGGAAATAACAGGCTATGGGTTGGAAACTTCTCCAAGCCAACACCTGAAAGCCTGGAATCCCAAGCTGCCTGGAACTTAAACTTTCTGAAAGCAGGGGTGATCCAAATATGATCTGGGGTTGGGAAAGTAGGAAAACCAAGACTGCAGCCTCAAATGGCAACGAAGTTACAGATTTAGACAATGACCAGTGACATCCATCAGACAGCAAGAGCTCAACACCCACAGCTGTCCACACATTTTTCCCAGATCAAGCATAGGACCTGTAGTTGTCAGGTAGGTACATTACCACTGAGCTGCATTCCTGACCTGTCATTATGTTTTAAGCAACAGATAAATACTGGAAAGCCATTTATCTACTTGAAGTTGGAAGAGCTGGGTCTACCTTGGTGGTAGAGAGCTTCCT